CGTTTATCACAGGATCGTGTTTAAAGTCTGTTTAGAGAGAACGGTGTCGTCCCATAATTTAATAAAATTATCATTTCGACAGAAGAATCAAACTAACTTTAGCTGGAAAATAAAATTATTCACGAACCGCTTTAAAGGCCAATTAATTTCTGTTACATTAAATTTTATGTAAAGCTGCTTTGAAACAATCTAAATTGTTAAAAGCAGTATATTACGTTACAGGGTCCACTACGTATTGGACCATCCAGCTACGTCATCGTGCTACAGGCTGAAAGGAAACGAGGACGGAGGAATCGAATAAAAGCTTTTTTATATCCATTGGAATATTTAAAGACAGAGTTGCGACACGCGTATGCTGTGATGTCGCCGCAAGGCTGTCACGTGGTTCATGGAAGCCCCAATAGTTCCAAAACAAATGCGGGCTGTCATGTTCTTCTATGGACAGACAGCAGCGATTGCATTATTAAAGGGGAAATGAAGCAGTGAATCAAGTTTACATGATTTACAAGATGGATTTCCAATATAATCAACAATTATATAAGAAACATTACGAATGTAAACATTTAGAAGAAAAAAATAAAAAACTTTGTATCTTTCGCCGCCAGGGCGCCGCCATTGTGCAGTTGCCGTCACGGGGTTGGTTGGCTCAAGTTTAACAGGCTCTGGGCATTGAAAATCGCGACATCAAACTGTGTTTACACCAGTGTTTTGACCGCGAACGACTAATGTTAGGTACAGATATTAGACAAAAAGACGACGTCTCATGTTATATGTTAACAAACTGCACATAGAAACATTGTTCGCGATGTCTGCCGTCAGATATTCCCGTCTCGTCAACACCATGTAAGTTAGCATGTATTTGTTAAAGGGGAAATGAAACGTCCATATTTTCGCACTGGTAGTGCTAGTAACGTTAGCTACAGCCTACATATACTAGGAAAAAGTGTCTCCGCTCTGACATCCTTCAGGGAAAGCATCGCCGCTTCCACACGTCTAACTCCCGGCACAGCATGGTAAACGTGCGAGCCGGTGATGCAGAATTGACCACGCAATACATGCTCAAGATCTTGACAACAGATGGACTCTGACACGGAGGGCATCGCAGGACAACAGCCACACTGACACCTGGTAAGTTAGCGTTGCAAACCCGCTCTCCGCCCCAAACCACCACTGACTGTTCTACACAGCAACGTAACTTACATGGTGTTGACGAGACGGGAATATCTGACGGCAGACATCGCGAACAATGTTTCTATGAGCAGTTTGTCAACATATAACATGAGACGTCGTCTTTTTGTCTAATAACTGTACCTAACATTAGTCGTTCGCAGTCAAAACACTGGTATAAACACAGTTTGATGTCGCGATTTTCAATGCCCAGAGCCTGTTAAACTTGAGCCAACCAACCCCGTGACGTCAACTGCACAATGGCGGCGCCCTGGCGGCAAAAGATACAAAGTTTTTTCTTTTTTTCTTCTAAATGTTTACATTTGTAATGTTTCTTATATAATTGTTGATTATATTGGAAATCCATCTTGTAAATCATGTAAACTTGATTCACCGCTTCATTTCCCCTTTAAACGGTAAAATAAAACATACACCTAATTACTTTTTAAGCTGTTATTGCATGTTGTTAATGTCAGTGTTGCATTTGGAGAGGCAGGGTGACAACTTAGATAAGTTTTAGTTTTTAATCTCTTAAAAACAAAATCTCTTAATTCTTTAAGGTGTCTTCAATAATGCTCAATCATCACTCAATTTTTCACTTAATTATCTCATTAACTTTAACACTGCTTTAGTGTTCATTTAGCACTCAGCTCAGAGTTTAATTGGATGGCTTAAAATGACTTCTATGATGTTGAAGATACATGAACAAACTATGTTTGTTTAACCAAGTTATGTGGAACTGGTGGAACCTGTTTACAAAAAAAAAAAAGTTAAGTAAAGCCAACACATCATTTTTTTGAGTGCAGGTGTTCATTCCCTTACGACAATTAACCATGGTTTTACAATAGTAAAACTGTAGTTAACTATGACTGTAGTAACCGTGGTATTTTTGATGCGAACCATGGTTTTGATACCATGGTTCTACTACAGTTATATTGTAGTAATACTACAGTAAAACCACAGTAACCATGACTGTAGTAACTATTTAAAACTATATAGTAAAACCATAACAGAAAACTGCAGTTTTACTAAATTATCTTGAATTACCTTTAATCTATTTAATTACAACAAACAACTACAAAATAACAACAGAAAGAAGTTATCATTCTATGATACAGACTTTATTACAAAAAATACATAATCTGAAAGAAAATATAAACTTGCATTTGTTCTCACATCTGACATAAAACAATAATTTGACTGCAAAGATATAAAACATTATTGGTGATAAAGTGGTGCTGTGCAATGGTTAAACAATTCAGTTTCTAATTTACAAATAAAAAAATAGCAATTTGTTCCACTATAATAATGATTTATATAAAAAAAAATAAGAAAGTACAAATAAACATGACTTAGAGCACCTTTAAATAGACAGCATCTATCTCCTCTAAAATGTCTATAACCTGTGAACCACACCTGTCCAACACAAGCATGTTTGCTATTTATACTGTACATACATTAACAGGATTACAGCAATATTACTTGACAAGAACAATAAATACTATACATTTAGAAGAAATGAGAAGTTCTTTTAAGAATGTTTTAAATGATATCCTCACAAGAGATGAAGACATGTAGGGATAGGGGATGACTAATCCACACTAGGTGAAAAAGGTTTTGTTGAAAAACAAAATGCTATGCCACATCCACACCAGTAGTTGTCAGTATGAAGTCTGTCATATGACAGTAGGTTACAGTCCAGCTTTGGGTTGGTTCTGTCTCGACCTTCAGCCCAAATTGATGCAAGAGCTAAATGAGAACAATACACACCACATTAACATACAAGCTGGAATACTCAACTGCTATTGGTCAGTTGCACTATCGAGTAGCCATGTAATAATGTCCAAGTATAACAATGTCCATTCAGCCAGTGTTTAAATAACCCAGTATTAGGTATTATACAGTATTAGGGCTCCAAAAGCCAAGCAGAAATAATGAACATTATATGATTAGATTTAGTCCGAGAGCTTCTGTCCCTCCATTGGAAATGTGTGTATGGTATACTGTCCTTGTCCAGAAAGGAAATAAAGACAAAATGTGCATTTTGGTCCAAAAATAACAAAAACTACGACTTTATTCAGCATTATATTGTCTTCCTGTTCTGTCGTCAATCCGTGTTTAATGACACTGCTGACGTGTGTCTGGTGCACCCAAGCTTCATTTACAGTCTGAGGGAGACGCACGCTGTAAACAAAACAATCCTCGTTTCCAAGGATGTCTAAGGATTTCGACACAGAGGAAGACTTGCATTGATCTTGCCCAGCCATATTTATTTGAACCTGATTACACGGACACACGTCAGCAGCGTCACAACAGACTCGTGAACGCGGCTTGACAACAGAACCGTTTAATGTTTACCCATTCCTCGGTAACCATCCCTACATATGGGTGAGTTCATGGATGAATGCCTGTTGTGTTTCGGTTTGGTTTGTGATAGTGGCAGCTATTGTGAAACTCACCTTCGTCATGTACTGAGTGTGGATGGCATCAAGATCTTGTCCTGAAGAATCACAGGGCCAAACGACTATATCTCATCTGGTAACAAGAGCATAGCCATAACTTTAAGATTAAATAATTTCAGTATTTATCAGTAAAAAATACATATCTTTGCATTGGACAGTATGGTGTCTGTCTCATCGGCCAACATAATTAAAAACACTCATAGAGAAATAAAATAAAATATACCAATGACCATGATATCCTGTTATCATAATAGTTAAATTAATTATATGGTATTTAAACTGAGGAGACGAATTGCAAAACCGTGTTTTTTTTCCACAGTTGACGCAAATAAGATTGAGAAATAAAATTTCGTAAAACGGAAAAAAGTTTTAGGGATATGTCATATTTGATTTTAAATTAAATATCCAAGCATTGTATATAAGGAAAATAAGTGATATTTTGTGATAAGAGAGAATAAGAGACTATATGTGAATATTATTTCACCAGTCTAAAAGATAATAAAGAAAAAAAAGCATGTTTTTAGTTAAAAAATGAATACGGAGAGTGGACCCAACATTACACCGAAGATAGTGGGAGTGTCTAGTTTAGATTTCAGTGCGCACGTCAGTCAGAACGTAGTACCCCAGAGTGCACTCTGGACGATGGGGCGGGGCGACACTTTTGGGCGGAGCGACACGTGTCGCCCCGACCACCTTAACGTTTATTGGTTTATAATAAAGATGATCTTATTGGTGCAGAGAAGTGTGACGCTATTACAGATTATTGGTGCAGAGAAGTGTGACGCTTTGGGCCGGCTGGGAATGCGGAAGAACACAACAGACGAATAAACTTGTTGATTTTGCGGCCATTAAATGCGATTCCACAATATCCCATTGAAGTAGAAATACAAAGAGAATAGAAATAATGGTCTAATTCACAATCACTCTCAACAGCTGTAGATGGTCCGTTACCTCTGCATTACTCACTGTTTTTTTGTAAGTTAATGACATCTCGCTCTCTCTCTCTCTCTCTATAGATAGGTAGATAGATAGAGAGAGAGAGAGAGAGAGAGAGAGAGAGAGAGAGAGAGAGAGAGAGAGAGAGAGAGAAAGAGAGAGAGAGAGAGAGAGAGAGCAAACTGTAGCGGACATGTCACCAGTCTCACCTGATAGTAACCACGAGTTTCCGTAAGATCCTACGAACATTTTTTTTTTAAACTACATTTACGGCTGTTAAACTTCACTGATCATAGCTCCAAAAATCACAAATTAACTATGGTAATTATAGTATTTGTGCGTTTACATAAATGTAATCAATAACTACGGTTGTACTATAATAAACTTATAAGGGAGTATCTATACATGCTCTTAAGAACACAACAAAACAAAGACTTTGTCACTTTTTCTTTATTATAGACTCCAAACTGCACTTATACATCAGCAGAATGTAATTTATGCAAACCTTAAAGAACCAAGGTACTTTACCATATTCACAATTAGTGAAACCTATGTTTTTGCCATAGCTTTTCAATAGAACACTATACAGGTGAAACTCGAAAAAAATTTATATCGTGCAAAAGTTATAATTTTGATGAACACTAAAATGCAAGCCCTCTGAAAAGTATATATAACTGAAAAGTATATATAATCATGCCATATGCATGTATAGTTATTTATACTAAATATATTAAGTTTCACCTTTTAATTTTTTAAATTACTGAACATGAACTTTTGCACAATATTCTAATTTTTCAAGTTTGACCTTTAAGTTTAACTTTTAGTTGCATCAATTACTACATCAAAACCAGTTCATCTCTCAATTCCCATCTACAAGTTTTGAGTTTTACAGAAATTCATTTCCTGCAGCAAAAAAACAGTCCTGCGAGCAAAATCCTGTACAAAGATCTTCAGAGTAAAAGCCCAGCAGTTCCCCTCGTTTTCCTCTTCCCCTGTACCCTGGTGGATAGGACTTGAAAAGCTCCAAGCATTCTGAGCATTCCCTGAAGCTGTAGATCCGGCGGAACTCATCACAGTAGTCCGGAGAAATTTTTTTCCAGTTGACCACACCTTAAAATGTAAAGACAAAATACAGAAAAGATATAAGTGTGGAGATTCAAGTTTAAATGTCACATAGCACAAATTTCAATCCAAGAAATGTGCATTGAACAGAAAAAAACATCTTACTGTTCAGCCAGGCAAAGTGTGCTGCTTTCTGGAAAATTTCATTTGTGACCACATCCCTAAACCATCTGCATACCAGTGAAAGCATCAAATATGCAGAATCACCAGTTGCTATTATTTCATGGGGAAGCTGTTGAAACAAAAAAACATTGTTATTTATACTTGTATATATAAAAAAATATAAACCTTGGTTCAGACAAACCTGATATATGGTTGTCATAACTGCATGCTCTGAATAAAATAATAAATAGATTAATATTCTCTTATAACGATAATATTAAAATAAATATCGCTCCAACACACATTAGCTGCTTTCCCCACTGTCAGGCCAGTGTGAGCCAGGGCTTTCAAGGGTCGGGCGGTGTTAATAGCCTTGGACCTGTAGCACCAAGCACAAAATCACACTGTGTTTCCACCGTTAGGACAGAAGCTCTGCAGCGCTTCACTAAAGCCTTCCCTTAACATGCCTGTCTTGAACAATGACAAATAACTCCATTGTTTCACCAACAAATGGAAGTTTTACCATAAAACTATTCAAAGAAATTGCTTAATGAATGTATGTGCACAATAAATTACCTGAATCTCTCTGTCTGAATCTCCCCGAAGACATTGCCTTTTGTAAGGTTGAGTGCCAAGAAAAACAAATGACAAGAGGTAGGCATGTACATTGGTAGATGTAGTACATAAACTAATGTTTAATGTAGGAACATGCAAACAGCTCACTGATTCTTGAGAGTCGGGACAAAACATGTCCCACATAGAAAAGTCTAATTTATAGCAAAAATTAAGAAATTCATCATGTATGGCATACTTACAAAGTTAAATCGGAAGGAATTGTATATACCTATCTGATTTTCAGAATAAACTTTTTTATCTTTTTGGGGAAAAGTTGTTTAAATATATGGTCTGTGCTTAGATAGTCCATGTTAATGCACTTGTCCTCAGCATGAAGTTACAATATTAACCATCCCAAAAATATTGAATAAAGCTCTACAATTGTGAAAACATATATATCAAATAAAAATAAGGGGTATAAATATAAAAAAACAATGCATGAAGTGAACATCAAACAATATTTTCCATAAAAATCTGCCTATTAAAGTTGCGTCCTCAGCTTCTGTCAACTCCTTCAGATTTTTTCATAAAGCTCTTAAAATCAGGAAATAGCATGGTCAGCTATATCCTTGAGGACCCCTTTTTATCTCCCTGTCCGTGGTGAAAGCAGCAATACCACACATGCTCTGGTATGTTTTACATTTTTGTATATTTTAGACAAACAATGTCAATATTCCTTTGGTCACAGCTGCACAATGTCAATACTGTCTTTCATTTAAGATACTTTTTTTAAAACATAGTGGATTGAATTAAAGCATTTTAGTGAGGTTATTGGGACAGTTAGCAACTGAGGAAAAACTACCTAGCTGCAGTGTGAAATACATGTTTTGGCGGGAAAATACATGCCCTTACGTCAACTCCGTCAGACGTCAACTCCGTCAGGTTCTATGTCTGACGGAGTTGACCTGTAAGCTGACGGAGTTGACAAATCTACCAATAACCTCTTAATGTGTGAATATAATATTATTTGTGAATATAGTGAAGGGTTAAACTGTTATTTCAGGGTTTTACTGAGACATAAATGCCCTACAAAGCAAAAAGGCAGTAACTACGCAGAGTGCAGAACTGGGCTTTTTGCAGTTACTGTACAAACGACTACCATTTTTCTCTAAAACGACACACATTTAAGATAAGATGTTTTGTCATAACAAAGGATGCCTTGAATGTCATGAAAATTGTAATAATTAATGGTTTACCAAAACTGCAGTTACTGCCTTTTTGCTTTGTAGGGCTATAATAGCATGCATTACGTTATTTAACCATACACATCTGGCTTGTAGAGAATGGTGAGGCAGTGGTCTGCTTATTATTGTGTAACGTGTAACTTTGCCAGCACATATATACTGTATATATATATATATATATATATATATATATATATATATATATATATATATATATATATATATAGTGTATCTTTATATGTAGAGACAGAGATAGAGAAATTAGAAGCCAATGTAGGGCTGGGGTAGCCTGACTACGTCAGACTTCCTACTTCCGCTAATTTCATTTCGCGAAAAGAGAAGTAGCAGAGTCTGGTATTACCAGGATAGGGCTGGGGGCGATTATGACCAAAAAAACATTTATCATGATCTGAATTATCAAAATCTGATTCTATAGTCTTATTCATGTACATTTTCCTTTATTTAAATTTGCATTGTAGGGAAGCATGGCCAGACAGAAATTGTCAGTTGAGGAGCAAAGGCGAAGAAATAGAGAGTACCAATGAAAGAGAAGAGAAAAAATAAACAGTGACCAAGAGAGCAAGCATGCAAGAGAAGGAAAGACAAAGGTGAAAGAAGAGAGCTAAAGACAAAAAAGTAAAACAAATAGACGAGATGGGAGACAGGGCAAAGAGGAATTTGAGAAAGTATTGGAGAGAGGCACAGAAAAGGTCCAGGAGCCTCATTTATAAACGTTGCGTACGCACAAAAGAAGGCATACACCGCTCTATAGTTGGTATTTATAAAAAGCAAACTTGACGGTAAAATGTGCGGTCCTTCACGCAAGCTCTGACCCAGGTGTACGCACAAAAACGAGTGAAATGAGAAATGGCGACACCGTCTGCAAAAAAACATGTGAAAGTATGTGAAAGTGTGTGTAACTGTAGACGGTTGTGTAAAATAAATGGCAATACTGCCTCTCATAAATAACACGAAGACTTCACAAAGTCACAAGTCTTACAATTAACAGCCTACACGAACACCCGTTTGATTGATCTGCAACAGAAATGCAAATTAACACATATTTCCAAAAAGAAAGTGAAATAAGTTCTGCAATAATATTGGCATATACAATTCATCCTCATAAATAAGATGGTAAACACTGAACAGAACGAAATCATGTACAAAATATTCTCGCCAATAGGCCTATGTCCGTCTAACGGAGCAGATAGCAATTAGATAGTCAGATAGATTGATAATTAGGGAGATATATAGGCCTATAGATCGATAAATAGATAGATGTATTATTTGTCCACTGGGGAAAGTCGTTTTCATTGTAAAAATATCTTCATCAGCTACGGAATCATGGTATTCATGCCTTTAGTTTGTTTTATTTTTGATAAAATAACGTATGATGTATGTCTCAGCCATTCAGAAAGCTGCAAGAAATTACATTTGCGCTGAACTATTTCCCATTTAGATTATAACCGTAGCTTGTCAGATGCAGAATTAAATGGATGGAAATAAAATGCCTCATCACAATGCGTAGGCTATAATGACCCACAGTGGCTGATCTTGAGCTCTTAGAAGATGTGGCGATTAAATGGAAGGATTCGGAGTGAACGCATCATCTTCACAACAAAGGGTGTGGAAAAAATATATTATTTATTCAAGAATTCCCTCATTGTGCAGTTTATTTCAGTCAGGACAGTCTTGATTTCGCCCAACTCCTTGGCCACCTCTCTAATTGAATTAATGACTAGACGCTTTTTTGCCTCGACTTTGATGTCCGACCATTTCTTTTTTATTTCGGCCACAGTCCGAGGTTGTGAGGCTACAGCATTTACAACGTCTGCAATCTTTTGCCACTCAAGTGCCCACACTGTGCCCTCCAAACAACATTTTTCTCCTCTTTTCCACCTCGCCAATGATAACTTCTACTTCACATTGAGTGAAGTTAAGTTTTTTTTTAAATTCCTCTCTGTTTTTAACATGATTTCGCAATTTATGAATATAAACTTGTGGGCGTTTCACGGACTATTTACGGGCAACTATGGGCGTGACATGAAGCCGCAAAAGCTGCGCTACATTTAGAATTGATTGTGATTTATTAAGGAAAAAATGCGTAGGATGTGCGTGCGCACGGTTTTATAAATCCGAATATTTCTGTGCGTACACACGTCCTATGTTTCATCCGTACGCCACATCTGACGCAAATCCTACGCAAAGTTTTATAAATGAGGCCCCAGTATTGTTGTCAAGGAATGTCCATTTAAGATCACTATAAAGTAGGCAGTGCAGGGCAATCCCACATCCACCCACACCCACACCACTTTAAAGTAAATGGCTACTTACAAAGGAGGAAAGGAAGAGGAGGATGAGAAAAGGGAGAGCAGGAAGTTGTATAGGGGGGTAGATGAAAACAGAAGGGGAGGAGGGCCCCTGGTTTCTGGCTTCTTTTTTTTTTTTTTTTTTTTTTTAAATTTGAAGAGTTCAGATGCAAAAGCCTCTAAATGCTATTTGAAATTTTCTTCTAGAATGGTCATTTTTATCAAGTTTGTATATTTAAGTTCAGTAATTTCACTTAAATGACAATTAATAGGTAATTATCATTGCCATTTAAGTGAAATCACTGAACTTAAATAAACAAGCTTGATAAAAATGATCATTTTAGAAGAAAATTTCAAATGGCACTTAGAGGCTTTTGCATCTGAACTCTTCATTTGGAAATGGTATAATTTATAATAGTTGGAAACTAAGTGTATGTGCAACATGTTTATTATAGTTTGCTTTACAGTAAGTTCAATACTCTAATAACAAGGAGTAGTTTTAGTAGTAGTTTAAAAAGCACATCTGTTAAATAATCACAATGCACATATTTTTTTGTCAACACCGTCAGATCTTCATCAACACCGTCAGATCTTCATCAACAGCGTTGGATGTATGTTTTTGTTAATTTTTTGGGAAAAAATTTTTCTTCCTTCAGTTTATGTTGTTTTTTTAAATAAAGGACCATCTGATCTAAATCTTCTTATGTTTTGTTTATTTAAGAAATTTGTTTTTACACTATTGAAATTAAAATCAAAGTTTAAAAATGCAAATATTTAGAAATCTGAGTTTTCAGAATTGTGTGAAATCACAACTTAAGTTTATATATTGTATTTTTTTACATATCAGTGTAACTATACACTATTACAATATACTTCAGAAGTTTAGATTCTTGTTGGATTGGAAGAATTAAAATTGTATACTTTTTAGTGTGTCTGACGGAGTTGACACAAATCCAGCTCTGAAGGGAAACATGTTTATTTGTTAAAAATATGTTTTTATTTAGAACCTGTTCCTTTACATGGTTAAATAGCTAAGACCTTTCTCTGCAGAAACATACAACTCTATTTGACATACTGTGTATTTTAAAAAAAAGTTTTTTATAACGTGTTTTGTCCCAACTCTCAAGAATCAGTAAGCTACATGCATTTGCAGAGTGAAGTTGTCCAGTATGAGAGCACACCACCACCTCCTGATCAGGGGCATGTCATCCTGAATTTTTTAAAATAATAATAATAATAATAAACAATTATGCATGTCTGTTTATTTAACGTGAAATATGTAATGAGGTAATGACATTACTCTGTAAAATCAAATCAGAGCCCCAAAGCCATGTATAGAGTGTACTGTTACAATTCACAAAGTGCAAGAAAATGAGCAGGGTATAACTTACAATAATTAACTACAATAACAATTAAAATTTAACCTACCATCAGTATGTAACAACATGTTTAAAGTTCAGTCTTTACTACTGCACTTTAATGTGACTAATGTTTTAAGATCACTGTGCATACTAACTTTTATACAGTATATTATAGTAGGGTTGCAGCAGTATGACAGTTTCATGCTTAAAAGAGTTATATCTCACACATTTGATTATTTACAGTAC